TAATGAGAAGATCTCTGCAGGGGTGATTCTGAGTGGCTTCATTAGTGTCTGCTAGCCTGAGGAGCAAACCAGATCATTTCAATTAATTTTTAACTAAAAACCTCAGGTGTCTTTCCACTATATAAATTATATCAAGACTGCTGCGAATAATCCGAGGCTCCAATTAAGCAATCACAAATTTAAGTTAATCATACGCCGTATGTTACATGTAGCTGGCTGTCAGCATTAAGACCAACAGTGGAGATTACAAGAGCTCTCCTCCCTGAAACCACGCAGCCTGGAGGAGACAGTCATTGCAACCAGCTGCTCAGAGGTTGTCATGGCAATAGATTCTTCAGTCTCAGACCCACATAATGCATGGACCGCACAGATGCCTAGCACTCCCGAAGAGTAATCTAACAGTAGAAATCAATACAAATGAGTAGGTGAGCCAACTATTTTTAATTACAAGTGCTGTGTCTTACATCCCATGGTGTTTATCAGCTTGAAACCTGCAAAGATTGGCTCTTGAGTAATAGTCTAGCAGCTATTTCTGAGGATCTCACCTGTTATAGCATGTGGGATGGTGGTGATTACAAGCCTCTGGGTCTGAGATTTCACTCCAGTTTTGGGGTCCTGCATCTCCAACACCACGTTCTCCACCTAACATGGAAAAAATATGATATGTATGGACAATATAAAAACATCTCTTTTTTTACCTTGCGGCAGCCTGTGTGCACATCTCACTAAATTATTCCACCGTGAAGTCATCCCTGCTGGTTTATGGTCTGAAGGGGCTGCGACTGACCTCTTTGAAATATGCTCTGTGATTGATTTGTGACTCAACTGTTTGAAGTTTTTCTTGCTTTGTCAGGGTCTCTGGCTTTTGAAGACTGTTTGTGAACTCTTGCTGCACCCTGGTCTGGATCACAGAAAGCTCTTGGCCGAGTTATTGGGTCATTACTATCTGTGCATTGGCAAAGAGCAAAGCAATGCACTAATAGAACATATTCTAGTGGATCACACTGTTGGGGATCACTTCAAGCGTGCAGTTTGAAGTATCATAGTGATAAAATAGGGACTGCATTATATGAGAGGCTCATGGCAAAGCTAGACTAATACCATTAGCACACACTGACCTTACCTGAGAGTAAGCTGCTCATAAACAATTAACACTGTAAAAATGGTTTAATTCATATGTCATAACATCTTTACAATGCATATAAAATGTAACAATTTCTTTAATTTCTTTTTATTGAGTTTATATGAGTTTTCTTCATCATTAATTAATTTTAAAGTGGTTGAAAAGTTTGATTTTGACACCACTTTCATTTCTGTTATTGTAATAAAGCAATTAATTGTACTTTTTTAATTTAGAATATTTATAGTATAATTTACAAATTAATTAATTAAATAGATTTTTTTTTTGTGGGTCAAATTTTTGGGAGTCAGCACTAAGTAATAATAATAATAATAATAAATTGTAACTGGAAAACAATTGAACAAAATCTAGGAAGTGAAAAAAAAAATCAAAATCAGTGTACATGGAAAGCCAAATCAATAAAAAATCCTGACCTGAAAACAATGTAGGAAAATGTATGTATGTATGTATGTAGCCTATGTAAATACATAAATAAATGAAATAAAAACAAACAAAAAAGACAAACGCAATTTAATTTACAATTGTAATTGATTTAATTGAAAAGTTTCTCTGTGACCAAAACAAGGGCAGTGTTCCGCATACTCTTAAAATAATTTGTTTCTGTTCCAGGTAACCACATTTTTTTTGGCACATATGCTACAAGACGCTTTAATATTCTGAATGGATGGAATCACCATTGAAAGTGAAATTGACAGCCCACAACACTACATGATAATGAGGATTAAAGTAATTATATTGCTGCGCTCAAATACAGCAAGACAAGCAGAAATATCCCTGTATCTGAAAGCATGAAGGATTACTTGTTAGATTATAGAAATCAAATGTAGCATTATTCTTATCTCATTCGCGAGAACGTAAAGAACACAGATGGTGATGAGCTATGGATGATGCTCTCAACCCACCTTCTTCAGGCATGCCATACGGGGTCTGTATCGCTGCCCATGGTCCCGTACATTCCTTATGGTCATGTTCGCCCTTTTCACGCCACAGTCTGTCGACGGTCGAAGACGAGAGAATGAAATGGGAAATACTCGGTAGGTAATCGTACTATCGTTTTGGCTGTGTCTAATCTATAATCATCACTGATGCACACAAAGACGATGGCTGTGTGCGCCAATCAGGTAACAGCTCTCTCTGCTCGTGTAGGTAAACCTGTATGTATGCTGAGCGCAGTGATTACAGTAACACGTCATGTCCGGTAGATGGCGCTGTGGTGTCATCTTTTTCACATGAAGGCACCTAGGGCTGACAACAAAACAAAAGCCTTTGAGCTGGATTTATGATTATTATAATCCATAAACCATTTCTTATTGTGATTATCGTATATAAAAAGGTTTTACTGCGAAGAAAAAGAAAATCTGCGCGTGTAAAATGTAAATTTTATTATCATTCATATTATGCAGGACCGTTTAGACTGCAGTCTGCAATAAAACAAGAAAAAGAAAAGAAACGGAAAAATGCTATATGCTTGTGTTGTAATTTGAGAAGGTATGTCTGTAAAACGACGTAGTAGATTTCTAAAAAAAATATGCTTTGGACACTAAAACGTTATTATAGCAATTATAATTTCATTATTTACACAATGGCAATGACAAATGAACAGAATCCTAACAGGATGGAAATAAAAAGCTACTGCACGAGCGTCAGAGTGTCAAGTTGAAATATGTAGGCTACACGGTGAACACTCGTTAAATGAACACTAAGATTATGAGGATGGAGTGATGCTGATAGGCTGTAAAAACATTAAATTGTTAGAGATTAGAAAGGGGAAAAAAACAACAAACACCTGCAATACTTATAAATTTGCCAGTTTTCCATGTCAGAAGTGGCAAAACATTTACTCAAACCAAATTATTTAAAATTACCACTATGTTTACTATATTGTCAGTTGTGTTAAAAGAGAACTGTTTTATCCGATATATTAGGACATGGCGTAGACATGAAAATGTAGGCTAATGCTTAACCCTGTAAGGCCCACTGTTGTAATATTACAATATAATTTTTAGCTGGACTAAAAAACCCTGCTCATGTTTTTTTCTCTCTCTCTAAAACCACATTTATGCAATTAATAGGTCTCATTTTTCAGCCTTGCAATGCAATTGGATGCTAGATTTTAAAAATAGGTCTATTTACACGGACGTGAAGTCACACAACCTGCGAACTCCCTTGAAGCACATGATCTTGTTTTAGACTGGATAAATCAACATTCAAGTAAGTAAAATGCCTAAAATATTTTTTCCTGTGATTAGTAATATGTCTAGATAATGTAGATATTAAGGTATTGTCGAATGCTTTAATCGTTTTAGATTTTGAGCTTGTTATGTCAGTGTTGTAATTTTGAAAAAATAAAAATACTTGTAAAAACATACTGTTTTGATCATTCACAAGTTTTAAATGTCTTCTTTGTTACCATTTTGAGTTTCAATCAATATTTAATGATTATTAAATAAGTTGAAGAATAAATTATTTCCTCAAGAATTTTAAAGTATTTGTGTAGCAATATTTGAAACTATCTATATCTTATCATTTATAAAATATCCTTAACTGGTTCTGTTTTTTTTTTTTTCTGGGCTTTGCTTGTTTGCCCAAATATCTGCCTGCTGCATGAGGAACAGGTGATAATGTTCTGGAATGTGGGGGTATCAGTGCTATTAGCATGATAATTTGAGGGCACAATAAGCTATCGGACAGTGTTGTGTGAATTTCTTTGAAATCTGTGAATTCTGTGGAATGGGTGAATTGTGTAAGTTTGATTGGAATCGATTTGCATTGAGAGTATTTATCATAGAAAATAATCAGTGTTTTTTTCTATTTCAGAATGCCATCAGCCAGGAAAGACCATCTCATCATATGCCTATGATATCACTGGTGCCATCCAAAATGGGAACAGTGACTTGAGATGGACTCTGATACAAGTGATGAAAGTTCTAAAGTCAAGTAATGAAAGCTTTCATTTAGTTCATCAGGTTCTATAGCTAAATATAATCTGAGCATATATATTATTTTTTAATAATAAATCATCTTTTCATAAAAATATGACTTATTGTGTCATTGTGTGGTTATTATTGTATATATTCATATAGGCCACTGATTTACACAGGTTACAGAAGAATTACACCTTGCAAATGAACCTTTAGATGTCCTCAACATTTGTTCAGATAGTGAGTAGAAACACTGAAATTCTGCTACCCAAGAGCCCAACGTTGCTATATTACAATATTTCCCTAAAATCTTACTAAAATGTCAGAAAATGTAAAAAACAACAACAAAAAAAACATTTATTTCTGCATTAGAGGCCTCTTACAAGAACATTTTAAAGGTGAAATAATTGTTTCACAGTTATTTTCTAGATTTGGGTCTTTGAGGGTTAACAGGAATT